TGCATAGGCTATTTATCTCGAGTCAATCGTTGCTGAGGACTATTTGTATTTTATTCATTTTGTCTTATAGCAATTGGTTGATGAGAATTTATTCGATCCAAAAAGGATGTTGCCCATCTTTCCATTGTATACATTAGTTGTTGTCCCATAGCATCTACTAAACCTCCCCACGGATTCAGTGGTTGGGTAGAAGGAACATTTGAAGGTCTAGTCTCATGGCCCAGTGATTTGGACTCTTTGGTTCAGATTTAGAACCGTGACAATTTGAGTCCTGAACTGTAGTGAGCCCCTATGAACAGAATGGGAGTCACCCTCCCGGGACGTTCGAGGACGTCTACACCCTCATGCCATTACCCTGGGCTGGCCTAGATCCACCAAATTGTACGGTTTCACTAGTAGAGAATGATATATTCTTAGTGGCTACCGGTCTCGAAGGAGTTTCATACCCTGACTGAGGCACAGGTGTTGGCCTCTCATGGTTGTGACTACTAGTCTGACCATTAACTTGTCCATTATTTTGCATAGGCTGTTTATCTCGAGTCAATCGTTGCTGAGGACTATTTGTATTTTATTCATTTTGTCTTATAGCAGTTGGTTGATGAGAATTTATTTGATCCAAAAAGGATGTTGGCCATCTTTCCATTGTATACATTAGTTTTTGTCCCATAGCATCTACTAAACCTCCCCACGGATTCAGTGGTTGGGTAGAAGGAACATTTGAAGGTCTAGTCTCATGGCCCAGTCCATTGTGTTGGACATGTGTTGTATTTTCTAAAGTGCTGGTTTGTTTGACCATTTGCGGAGGATTTGATGGGATAGGGGAGAGGAGACAAGAGGGAGCATATAAAAGGAGAGAACCCAAGATGAACTGGTTGATGGAGGAGAGGAGGCAAGAGGGAGCATATAAAAGGGGAGAAGAAAAAGTAAGCAAATGAGACGGACACTAGGTTTTATGAGTGCACATGAAAATTAGCATTTTAATAGAAATAATTTAAAATTAAATATAATTTTTATGGAGGTATAAATAAGTCTCTGTCTTTTATAAATAAAAATTATGAAATTTTTATACAATTTCCACTTCCACTGACTTAATTAATTTAAGTTGTTTGGACTCAACTACAAGCTTCTTTAAAACAATTGATTCACACATAAAAAATATATACGATTTACATTTTTTTTATCAGCAAAATAAAAGACACTTTATTGATGATAACATACCAAAATACATCATGGTATACATCAACAAGGAGGAGAGGCAAGAGGTTGATGAGAAACCAATCGAAAAAGGGGCAAGCAAAACCAAAACAGCAAGCCACCAAACAAGTGCAAAAAGAAAATAGACAAGTGCAAACCAAACCAGTGCAGAAAATAGAGTAGTGCAAAAACCAGCTCCTCCATCTCAGCAAAAAACAGGCCAGTGCAAAACAAACCAGTGCAAACCACAAACCAGTGCAAAACCAGCTCCTCCACTGCTTCACTCACAAAACAAACCAGTGCAAAACCAGCATAGCAGGTGAACACAAAGCACAGACAGATACTCATATGGACGTGCATCTTTATGCAACCCAGGATACCCAAAGGACTAAAACTTATGAAGTGTAACTTTATGCAACCAAGAATAACCAAATAACATTCAAACCTCACACAACAACATCAAGGATAACCAGCAATCTGTAGCAACTCTGTAGCCAAAAGAGCATGAGACCAAACAACTAGATTCACTCATGCAGCAACTCTGAAGCAAAAGAAAACATGACTTATAACAGCAGTAGGCAACAAAGAGCCTGAAATAGGCATACACCAGCCACAACCAACAAAACAGAACTAAAGGTGGAAACAGAACAAACAAAACAAATATAACAACTCCATAGCAGTTCACAGTAGCTATTCAACCTAACACAGCAGCAGCAGCCCACAACTGAGTAACTCATACACCAACTCTGTAACAAATAAAACAAGACACATAGCAGTCCAAGCTGAGAAGAGCAGACCAACAAAAAAAAAAAAAAAAAAAAGGTTAATAGAATCTGAGATAGAGCAGCAGCAACTCCTCTAAAGGGCTCTACCAAATACACTACAAGCAGCTTCTAACTTCACTAATATTAGACACAAACCCATTCATTGTATACCCTTGCCCAATTGAGTGAGATTTCAGCCAAAGAGCCACTCTAATTTTAATAAGCTCACAGAGATCTTCGCAAGTATGATGCTGCCCATTGAATAGATAATCATTCCTGCATTTCCAGAGAGACCATAAGGCAGCAATCAAAATTGGTCTCCAAACTTGCTTTTCCTTTTTTCTAAACTTCCAGCCCAGCCAATAGTGCATTAATATGACTACTGAACTAGGAGAGACCTAAAGCAAACCCCACCACTTCATTAGGTTGGACCAAACTTTCCAAGCAAAAGGGCACAACAACAGCACATGGTTAAGTGATTCAACCTCAGCTTGACAGAACACACAGTCAGAGTTGATTGCTGTATTGAGGATGCCAATTCTATGTAAGTAGTCATATGACTTTATCCTTCCTTTCCAAGCCAACCAAGAGAAAAATTGAGCTGTAGGAGGAGATGGATTATGCCAAATCAGATCAGTAACTACCAAAGGAGGTCCATTCAATGATTCATACCATTTAACAGCATTGTTAACAGTAAACATACCTGAGGGATGAGATTTCCACCAGAATATATCCATAGATTCCAATCTCAAGGAAGGGCCCTCCCCTAAGATAGCCTTTAATCTCTGCAGATCAGTCTCCTCCCACGCCAATAAGGGTCTTCTGAAGCTAAGATCCCAATTGTTTTGACGACTAGCCCTAGTTACCTGCAAGTGCAAGGTGATGCCTCGATCCTCTGATAGACAGTAAAGTCTAGGAAATTCGGACTTCAAGCACCTGGTTCCCATCCAATTATCAACCCATAAACTAATTCTTTCACCATTACCAATCTTGATTTCAACATTCTCCAAATAATAATTGAACAGGCTGCTATTAGAATCACTAACAAGAATAATGTCACTCCAAACTCTTGAGATATTGTTTGCCTCCATCTAAAATGGGAACCATCTACCTCCTTCTGACTAATATTTGCTGCAGATGACTTGTTTCCATAATAAGCTGTCTTCCTTTCCAAACCTCCACCACTATTTAGCAAGGAGGCTATTATTTAATATTCTTAAGTCTCTTATGCCCAGCCCAACTTGCTTCTTATCCATGGTTAGATCCTTCCATTTTACTAAATGTACTTTCCTTCTCACCTCTGAATCACCCCACAAAAAGGCTGCTTGTATCTTGTCCAGCTCTTTTGTTACAACTCTGGGCAACCTAAAGAGAGACATGTAGTAAACAGGTAGTGAAGAAAGGACAAATTTTATTAGTAAACTCTAGCCTTTTCTTCCAACCTGACAGTTTCTTCTTAAAATTGTCCATCATAGGTTTCCATGTTGCCCTCCTAGATGGGTTGGCTCCTAATGGCAATCCAAGATACTTCAGTGGGATCTTCTGATATGCACAGTTTAGCCTCGAAGCAAAATTTTTCACACACTCATCAGATAACCCCACTCCACACACACCACTCTTGTGGAAGTTGATCTTCAACCCAGATATTATCTCAAAGCATCGAAGTATTCTCTTCACAGTTAGCACTTCAGACCACTCAGCTTCACAGAAGATAATTGTGTCATCCGTGAATTGGAGATGCGAGATGTTTATGGCATTTGACCCAATGATTACACATTTGATCAAACCTAGCCCTTTTGCTCTTACAAGAAGTAGGTTTAAGCCTTCAGCCACCACATTAAATAAGAAAGGTGATAAGGGATCACCTTGCCTAAGCCCTTTTTGAGGACAAAATTTAGGGGTGGGTGAACGATTGACCAACACAGAGATTTTTGCTGAGGAAAGACAAGAACGAATCCAATTCACCCACTTAGCACCAAACCTAAAATTTGATAGCATTTGGAAAAGATAGTTCCAATTGACCGTATCATATGCTTTTTGGAAATCCAACTTTAGTATCAGGCCCTTTCTTCTTGATTTTTTCCACCAATCCACCACCTCATTGGCTATCAATACACCATCTAGTATATTCCTACCCCTTAGAAATGCAGATTGAGCATTACCTATGACAGCTAGAAGTACTTTTTTCAATCTATTCACAAGCACCTTGGAAAGAATTTTGTAAGTGGAGTTAATAAGACTGATAGGCCTGTAGTCTTGAATATCAATAGGATTGTCTTTTTTAGGGACCAAGGTAATAAATGAACTATTTAAACCCCCAACCAAGCTGCTGTTAGCAAAGAATTCCTTTACAAAAGTGATGATATCAGTTTTCATAAATTTCCACCCTTTTTGATAGCAAGTCATGTTAAGCCCATCCAGCCCAGGTGCCTTATTCCTATCACAGTTAGCCATCGTTGCCCAAATTTCATGTTCAGAAAATTCCACATCCAAACAATAGAAATGCTGGCTTTGGGAAATGACGTTAAATGGGCCCAAAAGCTTGAGTCTATACTTCCAGTGCTCGGAGAAACTTAACCTGAAGTGGTCATGCACAGCTTGTTTGGCCTCAGCAGGTTCCTTCACTAATTCCCCATTTACTGACATTGAATCAATTGCATTGGCATTCTGCCTTTTAGTAGCTATGATGTGAAATTGTTTTGTATTTTTATCTCCCTTAAGAGTCCAGTTCAGCCTTGACTTCTATAGCCAGATTCTTTCCATCATCGTTCTAAGTTTCCACACTTCACCACTTACCTCTCTTCTCCTTCTACCTTCAACCTCATCCAGGTCTCTACTCTTAGCAATTAGATCTATGGCATGTAGATTCTCTTCAACTTGCCTCAGTTTAGACTCCATATTCCCAAACACTTCGAAGTTCCACTACTTTAAAGATTGTTTAAGTGCCTTCAATTTAACTTTCAGTTTGTACCCTGTCCAGCCTTCCACGTGAGTACCTATCCACACTTGCATCACTACATTGAGAAAAGATGGATAAGATGTCTAAGCATTGATGAATCTAAAAGGCTTTGGGCCCCAATTTCTGACATCCTTCGTTAGGATAATTGGACAGTGATCTGAGATGGATCTAGGGAAGCCCCAAAGTTTGTATCTAAACCATTCTAACCGTTCTGGCTCAACAAGGAACCTGTCTAGCCTACTCCATCTCTCACCTTCCATTGAGTTACACCATGTAAATTTTCTACCCAACATAGGTAAGTCAATCATTTTAAGGCTACTTACGAAATTACAAAAATCTTCCATTCCCCTATCCCTTCGTACATAATCCTTTCTTTCATCTATTGATTTGATTTCATTAAAATCTCCCCTGATGCACCACGGTTTGAGGAAGGTAACCTTAAGATTGAGCAAAGAGACCCATAACCTTCTCCTAGCAAGCACATCATTAGGTGCATACACATTCACAATCACACAGTCCAAGCTACTAAACAAGGTACCTGATAGTATGACGAAACTCTTATTACAGCAACAGTCAACTAGAGAGAAGACTTCAAGCTTCCACACACATAATAGGCCACCAGAGCTCCCATCAGTATCTACATACATGGAGTCAACCAGGTCATGGGGCCAGATAGACATCACAAACTGATCTGAACTATTTGCCTTTTTTGTTTCTTGAAGCAGCACCATATCCACTTTCCTTTCTTTAATAACTTCTTTGGGTCTCCTCCTATTCTCAGGCCTACCAAGCCCTCTAATATTCCAAGAAAGAATCTTCATAAGCACTTACTATTCACTCTTGAGCTGCCAGTGATACTGAGACTAAATGCCAGCACCATCACTCCTACCAGCAACCTGCTCCATGTCAGTCTCTGTAGACACCCCATTTTTGACCGACCTTAAGACTCAGACGTCACCGATTGAGCGCTTGGTGATGTTGCATAATGTGCTTGTTCAGAAGTTTCAGAGTCGCGGCCGTGAGCCCTGCCTCCGGACTTCCGAACCCTCTTTTGTACCTTGCCTCGGTTTGCGAACCAGACTCGATTTTCTCTGTTTCTTTTCCTGAGGGGAGGGAGAGGTCCTGTAAACCATCTCTCAATGTCCGTAGGCTACATTTGGTGGCCGTAGGCCATTTTTCCCATTTCGGAGTCCGGTTTCCGGTTTTCGGAGCCGTCAGGCCGTGTGCCTAGGTTCGGGACCGCTTAACCATCTCCTATTGCTCCGGTTTTTGGCGTACTTCCTATTGTCTCCCTTTTGAGGGACACTGGGGTTGAGAAACCCACTTCGTGGCCGAACGCCATTTTCGGTGCTTAACAGCCCATTTTCGGGACCCCGAACTGCGCGTTTTGGCCCCGGAACATTCATTTCGCAACGGTTTTCGTTCATTTTTGGCGGGTACCTCTGTTTTATCACCAGGGAGGT